TTAAATTATAAATCATAAAACATTTATCACATTCTGTGCACATGAAAAAAATATTTAGTCCACATAATCATTTAAACAAGCATGTACTTCGTGCGAGGGAATGCATCTTAACGTAAACAACGTCTTTCTTCTCCCCATCTAGGACTTGTTCCTTGTTTCTTTCACCTATCATCGTAGATATATCTTGGTTTAAATATGACTAAAGTATTCTCTACATGAAATTTGACTATACTTTTATCTACTCTAAAATATTTTGTATAAATCATTTTCTTAGAATGTATACCATTTTACTAATACATTTTATATCCTAATATTGAAAAATATAGTATTCTATTTTCTTATATTGTTGTACCATAAATTTCTTTAAAAATAGTCTATAAAAAAGATTAGAGGGTTTACAAATTTCTATTAACCCTATTATTTAAAAAGGAATGATATAAAATACTATATGGAAAATTAACCTAAAGATAAATATAATTTAAACAAATTATTATTAAAATCCTACATATTCATAAATAATGAAATTTTAACCATGAACTTAAATGTTTGCAAGTATTATATCTAAGAGCTTCATAAATTTCTAACACTTCTAGCTATTAAGATTAAAATAATGTATTTAAAAGAAAAGCCTAGTATGTTACTTCCTTAGAAGAATATTTAACGAATTTGGATGCTCTTAAAGGTATTTGGGCATTTTAAGCAAATCCTTGGCCATGACGTCATCCTTAGGTGAAGCCCAATACCATTTTATTACTTTTATGTGATTAAACTCCGAAGGGAGACTCTTATTTATAGTGTAAGACTAGCTCTACTTTTTAAGCGTCTGGCGAAGTGGGACAAGAGAGTTTTACACTAATCCATTGCCAAAAATCTCGTGGGTTCATTTTTGAGAGTTTTAAATTATTTGTCTCATCTAGTAATTTTATTTTATCTTACATTTTTCTTCATAGTTCTCAAATTACTCCCATTTTTAATTCCGTAATTATTAACTAGCCCCCTACTTTCCTATCCACTTTAAATTCAATCCAATACTTTGAAGACTCCCCTAAAAGTATATTATTTGACCACATATACCCATATATACTATTTCTCAAAATCTGATTTATTTTAAAAGTTTTTCTAATTTTCATAGTTCATTTTAGATTCAGTAAAAGGAATTCAATGCACTAAATGATATCTCCCTTACATTTTCTCTTTTAAATTTTTTGACAAAATAATTTTCTAAATTTTTCCGGGTATTACATACTTACCCCCTTAAAGAAGTTTCGTCCTCGAAACTTTGTTCTGCTTTATTCTAAGACAGGAGTTCATATTCTTCTTAGAAAAATGTATTTGTATAATATGTTTAATGATTACACATCTTCGTTTGCTCTTTGAAGTATCACATTGACCACCTAATTTGATCACATAAAAAATACAACGATACGGCTAAACATTACTTGGTTTCTCTAGCATCATTGATATTTCATATGAGATCTTATCTCAATTTTTCAGACGTACCTTATCTAGTTAATCTCATGATCAGAAAGATTTGTAACTCATACCCGTTCTTATAAATTTTAACTACATAAATTGTTATTTTATCACTTAAAACGCTAACTCAAGAATATTACAAATGAATACTTCATATTGTACAATTTTATTGCCTTTTACGTGGACATAGTAACTTATGCATTTATTGTTGTCATAACATTTTTTTTTTCATTTGTGAAATGCTATCTATTCAAAGTGATTCCATTATTCTATGTATGAATTTATCATATTAGCTACCTATATGATTCTCAAAGATTTTTCTTTAAAATCTATTCGCACAATTAAACTTCCTTGATTCACTCTATTAGGGTGTAGTTATATTCATAAAGTAATTATAATTATGAATATAAAAGTTTTGGACTGTAAGAATTAATTCCTCATAACCTATTAAGTAATTATAATTATAAAAGTTCTGGAGTATACAATGTCAAGTCTATATTCATAAAGTTCATCTACACGCTTACATGATATGCTTTGCACTAACCTTTGATTTACTCACGACTAGTGATTCTTCATTTGTAAAACCATCTTCTTAAGTGATTGTCTTTGAAACCTATACCTCACTGTTTTTTATTTTTTTATTTTTTATTTCAGCTAGCCTTATATCTCTAATGAATTTGTAGTCATTGATAATCATATGATCTCTTTTAATGTAGACATTTGTAGTCATTGCATTCTTACTATTATTTTTTTTACGCAACTGAAGTCATGCTATAGAGATTAGGAAACATGTATATAACGTGGTGTTTCTAACCCTCTCGACTTAAATGTCTGTAACTTTATGAGAACATAAAAGATGATCTCTCTTCCAAGTTATCTTTCAACTCCTATTATTTCGTTCAATAAAGGAAAATGAAATAATCTTAGGTAGTATGATAGTATGTGTTCTTTTACTACCAATTGTTATGAAATCAGTTTTCAGGATCGGACACGTTAACCATTATGTCTAATTATGTCGCAATTTTATCATGATATACAAAACTCTACAAAGTAGTTATGAATCCATTCACAGACTACGTGTCATACACACTCAAACTTTTAAGATATGGATAATAACTTGTAAATATATTACTTTAATTCTTATAAATTACATAACTATTAAGGTGCAAATGTGTAAGAACCAATTATTTTGGCCACTAATCTCACTAAGTATTAATTGTTTTTTAATATTATTCATTCTAGTCAATCACTCTTTACACTATTGAGTATCTTAGCTTTTGTATACTCCTTCAGGTAGAAGTCAACAACTAGAGCATACTTCCCTTTGATATAGAGATCATAAGCTCATAAAATAAATTATTCTTAATATTGTTATTTCACGCGTTAACAAAAATTAAGATGGATTATATAGGGAATATGAATTATATAGCAAAGGTTCTTGAATCACTCAACCAAATCTTAAGAAAGATCAATAGTCCTAGTTAAAATTTAATGATTTCTTCTGCTATGATCATTGGAGTCATATATATGTTATTTGGAATGTTTAAATCATTCATAGTTATTTTGAAATTTACAAATACTGAATACTTACCCTCTTATTTATAGTGTGAGACTACCTCTCATTTTTAAGCGTCTGGCGATGTGGGACAAGAGAGTTTTATACTAATCACTTGCCAAAAATCTATGGGTTCATTTTTGAGAGTTTTATGTTATTTGTCTCATGTAATAATTTTATTTTTTCTTACATTTTTCTTCATAGTTCTCAAATTACACCCATTTTTAATTCCGTAATTATTAACTTGCCCCCTACTTTCCTATTCACTTTAAATTCAATCCAATACTTTGAAATTTCCCCTAAAAGTGTATTATTTGACCACAAATATCCATATACAATTTCTCAAAATCTGATTTATTTTAAAAGTTTATCTAATTCTTATAGTTCATTTTAGATTCTTTAAAAGGAATTCAATGTACTAAATGATATCTCCATTACATTTTCTCTTTTAAATTTTTTGATAAAATAATTTTTGAAATTTTTCTGGGTATTACACTTTCTATTTATACCAATAAATCAAAATCGTTTCAAATCAACAATAAGTGTCAAAACATAGTGTTTGCGGTAAAAACAAACCTTTTAATGTGTTTTCTCTGTGACAGTTAGGGAGTGAAAAAAGAGTATTTTCTAGTTATTTTTCTTTGATGTTTTATCCGTTTCTTGATTTTTTTAATGTGATAATTAATTTGATTCTTAGTATATTCTTCTCATTTTTATTCTTTTATTACTATTTAGTTTATCATCAAGATCTTCATATCTATAATTCATAAGAATCTCTCTTTCCCTACTCTCTATCTTTTTCTGCAGCCTTCTTCACTTTCAAATTCCGGGAAAAAAATATTTTTCTTCCCATCATCCCTTCAGTGGGAGGATAAACGAGATAGTTTTTCTCTCTTTCAGTTTTTTCTTTAATTGAATAAATTTAGCATGTCACCATATCTTTCATTTGCTGGCGTGTAATATCTACCAATAGATCATGATCTATAGTCCATCAATAGATCTAATTCTATTGATCATGATTTAGTCCGTTCGCGATGTTATCGTTCGTGGTTTATGTTCCAGGATTTAATGTCAAAATATATCTATGTTTTAGATCTAATTTTTGGGGCCTTCATATGACGATAAGTTAAGTGTTCAATATCAAAGTTATTTATTGATACGTGATGTTTTGAACAATTATTTGCGGGTGCTACAAGACAGTTCATGATTTAGTCAACCGCAGTAAAAATGATCGATTGATTCTGAGAATTAGAGTTCTAATCGATTGTAATATGTTGGTCGTTGTAATCCTCCATGTATCAACGTTTTCCAACAAATTTAAGGAAAGTTTCTTTTATCTTTAAAAGAAAATGAAAAAAGTATCAAAACATTAAATGTTTAAATTTTAGACGAAACTCACTCTTGGTCCCTAAAGGTAGTGTGGTAGCGAGACCCAGTCACCAAACACTTTCTCTCAAAAAAATTAGTCCCCTAAAAGTTTTATCTCATCAATTTTAATCTTTTCAACGGAGTTTTTCATAACCTAATGGCCAAACCATCTCCCCGTTAATTCTTGATTTTCTATTGATTTCTTCATGAACGATGGGTCCCACAATCTTTGGCCCATCCATTTTTGGAGTTGCATCTCTACCAAAAGAGGGTCTTTCGGTGGATTGGTAATATTGTAGGAAAACTGGTTAAAATTGATCATCAAACAGCAGCCATGACTCGTGGTAAATTTGCGAGATTGGTTGTACTGTTAGACTTGTCTAAGCAGTTGTGGGCCCAATTTACGATTCACGGAAATGTGCAAAGGGTAGAGTATGAATGTCTCCTAGAGATTTGCTTTCAGTGTGGTAAATATGGACACTGCAGTGCCAAATGTCCTGATCGTTTACCAAATATCCCACAAGCCATAGCTGGAGGTTTTGCGGTGCCCCTTGCCAGTAGCAATGGAAGTACATGACGGGCCGCAGGAGAGTCGTCGGAAAAAATGGGATTTGGGCCATGGATGCAGGTGCCACAGAAAGAAAGGACCTCATACCGAAGAGATAAGGGCACAGCTGACCAGCCTACCAAGTCGGCTGCCAATAATCCTAATGTTGGGTCATACTTTGACGTTTTAGCGAATGATAATGATGGAAATCTAATCTTTAATTTTGGCGTTCAGAAGAATGCCAACCAGGGGGTACAGCAGTCTATGTCTTCTGCATATGGGGGGTTAGGGAGAAAGGTGTGGGATGCGGGTATGAATAAGGGTGATGGTGGGTCTGTTGGTCAAAAGGGTCGTTGGGTTGGGCCAAAAAACCAGAATAACGTGGAGCGATCGAGGATAGTGGCTGATGGGAATCATGACGGATCTTGAGCGTTTGGGCTACCCAAGAAGGCCCTAAGACAATCCTAAGTGCAAATTCAGAGTAAGGAGCCAATGAGCCAGGTAGCGGTGCAAGAGAATTTTGAGGCGATAGCAATATTAGCTAAAGCATCTAATTCTGGTAAGGAGGTAATTCAAATGGGTGGAATGATGTGGGTATGAATAAGGGTGCTGGCGGGTCTGTTGGTCAAATGGGTCGTCGGGTTGGGCCAAAAAAGCGGACTAATGTGGAGCGATCGAGGATAGTGGCTGATGGGAATCGTGATGGATCTGGAGCGTTTGGGCTGATCGAGAAGGCCCTGAGACAATCCCAAGTGTAAATTCAGAGTAAGGAGCCAATGAGCCAGGTAGCGGTGCAAGAGAATTTTGACGCGATACCAATATTAGCTAAAGCATCTAATTCATGTAAGGAGGTAGTTTGGAACAGCGAGGGAATGGTATTTGGACTTGGCCAGAATGTCGTTCCAGTGAAAACTGGATTTGATCTAACAAAACATCAAACTGTGATAATTATGGACAGCCCGATTCAAACACCAAGCGGCCAAGGTAGACCAAATGAGTTTAATCCTGGAGAAGACCGAATGATAGATGGTGACTTTTGTGGCCTACTCGAGGATAAAGCCATGAATGAGGAGGTGGCATTGGGATCTACAGTCCCAAGTAATACCTGAGTAATAGTGCTCTCTCTTGTCTAATGCTTCATTATGAATAAAATCGATTGCAAGCATCAAGAGGTTGACTCGAACGAAGGTTTCTGAGTTGGATTCACTATTCAATGTGACTTATGCTGGGTCATCTCGACTTTTCAAGGTTATAATATCTCAATTTATTACGAGTTCGCCTTTTAAGGTTAATATTGTTATTTTGTGTTATTTTGCTCACACTTATATGTGGTAGCTTAGTAATTAAGGCCTTTCGGCATCATTAATTGTACCAAGAAAATAAAACGACATTGAGAATCAAAGGGATATGAATAAGGGGTTTGCAATGAATTTGGGTTGGGTACTCTACGTGGATAAGCAAGCTTTAGAGGTGGAGGTTCTTAAGGCGAAGTATGGAAATAATTTCCAAAATGGGCCGGACTTACCTGATAGGCCCAACGCGTCTGGTGCTTTTAAGGGGATCCAGAAAACATGTGTAATGGTCCAAGGCGGGTTTAGATGGGCTTTAAATAATGGGGAGAAGGCCAAGTTTTGGGTCGATATCATGCGCCCAAATCAGCTGAAGTCGGTGGATTCGAAAATTGGAGGGAAGCAGGGGAAGACGACGTCATTTGCTGCATGCGGGCATTTAATGTGCACATGCACGCCCTTGTCATTTTCCTGTACTATTTTGGTCATTTTCTTTCCCACTAAATTAGTATATAAACAACAATTGTACTACTGATAATCATTCCGGAAATCAATTTCATTTTGAGTGTTAAATCTGAACTATCTCTCTCTCTCTCTCTATCATTTCTTCTATTTCTAACCTCCCTACAATTCTGATTATCAAACCCTAAGTCTTAATCAAGAGATTTCTGCCGGAATTCTTTTGATTTTGTTTCTAAATCGGAGCTGCATTTAGTCGAAACCTGACAATTGGTATCTAGAGCCTACCGAACTAAACTACACTACAATCTACTTCTAAGATGTATTCTGGACTTCGATGTCTTCGTCTTTATGCTGCTGCTGCCTTTTATAGAGGTTGGGGGAGAGATCTTGCTTAGCCATGTTGGTCTCCTCTTTACCCGATGGGTTTTATGCAAAAGAGAGCAAACCCATACCTTCCCAACTTCCCTAATAAGCTTTTAGGATAGATTTAGATGAAGATTTCAGCTTTAAGGCACATCAATCTCCTCCCAATATCAGCAGTATCACTTCACCAACGGCTCTTCTTTCTTAGCTTGGAAGGATTGCTCCAATTTGGCCTTCATCCCGTCCGATTCTTCCTCTTCTCATCCCTTGCAAAATCAGTTCCTACTGCCACATTCCAATTCAGCCCGAATCTTGACCATTTTGCCACTTTTTGCCCCATTTTCTGCCCCTATTGCAATTCAGTCCTTGGACAACCACAAGTTATCAAATTAGTCTATAATTATATAAAACTAACCTAATTGGCCTATTATTTAAGCATAAAGAGGTAAATTGAATGCCTAAAAACATAGTACGAAATGCACTCATCAACTCCCCCAAACTTAAAAAGTTGCTTGTCCTCATGCAAACAAGATATCTACCCCCCATACAGACTGAAAAACAGAAAATGTTGCAAAAAAGACAGTAAAATTTTTGTCTCATGAATTGATCTCATCACAGGCTGATACAAGAGTTCAGAACCACTTGAACAAGTCAGAAACTAACTTCCCCAAGCGCATGGATGACAGTAACAGAACAAAGTGTTGAGTTCCATTCTTAAGTTAAGTTCAATTAAGATCAATGGACATTCCTGGATCTGTACCTATTTTTATCAAGTCTGCAACTAGGGTATTTTAACGGGATTTTTGACTAAGGGCTTCCTCACTGTTCTGCAAGCACATTGGCCGCATCATTCACCGTCACACCCATTTCATTCTGTCCATACTGGCTTTTCTTCTAGATCTTTCCCACTCAGGCCTTAGCCAAGCACAATTTTTCAGCACTATTTTGCATTCTAAGCATTTGTATTTTTTACCTCACCGGGCCTGAGGACACTCCTCTCTTTGGTTACCGTTCCTCACCTCTCAAGGGTTTATAATGCCTTATTAGACATTCTACCTATACTCCCTCAATTAGCTAAACAAAAACCTCAGATTATCCGCCTACTTCCCTTCTTTTCCCAAGGTATTTCAGGCTATTCAAGACTATTATGGGCTCGAATTGAGATTGCCATAATGCGTAGGGTTTGCCTTAATCTTTATCCAGGTTTACAAACCACCCGGGTTGACAAACAAGTGAGCTCTAGTACAGATCACGAAAATGCAAGAAATTTTTCAATTTTTAGCATTTTAAGTACAGGAACACACTTTGACAGGTGATTTTGTGACATGAGCAAGAGGAGGCAAAATCTAAGATAATCAAGATAGTTCTAAACAAGTGTTAAGCCAAATTTTGAGACTCAATTAGTTTTCAATTGACAATCGACTTTCCTAGACACAGAAAGACAGAAGACTGACTCAATCACAGAGAGGGATACAAAAATAGGAAAACAAAAAAACAGAAAAAACAGGGCAAGTGCCCAAAAACAAAGACTCAAAAGGACAGAAAAAACAGAGAATCAGAGAGGTAAAAACAGAGATAGAAACTAAATCCTAAACATGGTTGATTCTCTTTACACCCTCCCCCAAACTTAAAATCCAGCATTGTCTTCAATGCTGAGTAAAAAGAAAATGGAAGAGGAGATGAAGAGAAGCAACATACACACAAAAACAGAAAAAAGATGCAAATGCAAAAGAAAACAGAAAAAGAAAAAGAGAAAGGAAACTAAGGACTCCCCTAATCACCGGAATCTGATGATTCATAATCTAGTGGTGGTCCCTGCAAGGACCAAGGTAGTGATAGACGGGATCTATTTACATGAGGTCCGAAAACTATGCCGGACCGCTCTTTTAATCTCGTCAAAAGGCTGGGGAAGAACCAACCCTTCTCCTTTTCATCCGCAGCACAGAGTTCCATTAGTTGGCGGATGATCAAAACAACAACAATGGTGATGTTATTGATGATGGCAAATAGCAGCAATGCCCTGTCAACTGAAACAAACTGGCAAGATTTGACAGGCATGATATTGGTGCAGATTAGATTGAACCATCCCCTGTTGGGGTCCTTTAGGTGCAAATCAGATTGAACCATCCCCTATGGTGGTCCTTGTGATTCTGGCATAGAGCTTTCTTTATAGTGTCAGAAAGCCTTGTTTTCACAGGAACGTTTTCAACTGCCGCATCCCAATCATTGTGAACCACTGGTACACCCAATACCTCTCGGATAGCCTGCTGACTTATTTCCACTGTCACTCCTTGAACATAAACAAAGGGCTCCGTGACAGCAGTGAGGTTGGCATAGAGTTCCTGCACCACCCTCATCCTTGGTTGGGTAGTGGGGGTTATAGAGACCTCCCCATTGCACATCCTCCAGGTACGTTGATGGGTGATCTTGGTTGAAGCATTGGCGCTCAATGATGGGGACTATATTCTGATGCCGCAGAAAGAATTGCTAGCCAAACTCAGTGATGAAGGTCCGTCTGTCTCTAGGTTTTTGGAGGCGTGTTCTTACCTCATGCCTCTCATCCCTATTCAGATTAGGGCTTGGAACAATCACGTCCTGCCAATCTTTCAGCAGAACTACACTCCCCTGATTGCAAGGTCCTGCGCCGCGGCATTTCCTTAACCTTGGGGTTCATCTTGACAATAGTGTTTTGGAAAATTGGAGAAAATGGAAGTGTTTGTGCTAAAGCGGGTAGGGCGGATGGCGTTTGATAGAAGGAAAGCAAAAGGGAAAAGACAAGGTGAGGGGTTGGAGTATTTATTGGTCAAAAATAACAACTCCCCATGCCCCGCCTTTCTAGATTCTTAACTGCAGTACTGTTGATTCCTTCCCCCAAACTTAAAGTCAAGACTGCTTCCCAAAGTCAAAAGCCAACTTACTTGCATTTTGAAAAGTCAAGATGACTCGCGCAAGTCAAAATTGACTTCTGGAAGTGGGTGTCCTATATCTCAGAGTAATTATATTTTTCCTTATTCCTCTTTGTGACATTCATCAAATACTGATCATCACTCGTCGTGGGACAATGGCTTCTCATCAGGGTTGGAAAATTGCCTGCAAAACAAAAGCACTACAAGAGATAGGGTTAGAACAAAAGTGCTTGGGTTGCGTCCCATGTAGCGTAATAGTTTAGAGTCTTATGCCAGGCTGTGCTGAAGGTATGATTCAAGATCATGGAATGACAAAACATGACTATTCTGTTCTCCTTAAAAATGTACTCCCATATACGGCTTCAGCCTTTGTCCATTCATCAGAAAAGTGCTCCAGGTCTGTAATTTCATTAGCTCCACTGCCCCTTAGCTCAGAATCTTGCTGATCTTGTGAGGGCCTCCCAATCTTGATTTCAGCTTCCCAGGGAAGAGCCTCAGCCTGGCGTTGTAGAGTAGAACCAACTGTCCTACCTCAAGCTTCTTCTTGCAGCTTCTAGTCATGGAATCCCTTTGATCTCTCCTTGCAGATTCTGGAAGACTCATAAGCTTCCTGCCTGAATTCCTCCAATTCAGTGAGTTGCAGAAGCCTATGCTCCTTGTTGAGTTTTGGATCCAGATTCAACTCCCTCAAGGCCCAATATGCCCTTCTGCTCTAACTCAACAGGAAGATGGCATACTTTTCCATACACTAATTTGAATGGAGACATGCCAATTGGAGGCTTAAAAGCAGCACTGTATGCCCAGAGAGCATCATCAAGTTTAGCAGACCAGTCAGTCCTTGAACTGCTGGCTACTTTCTCCAATATCCTCTTGATCTCTCTGTTGGTCATCTCTACTTGACCATTGGACTGTGGATGATAAGGTGTAGAAACCTTTTGCTTGATGCCAAACTTAGCCATCAGGTTAGTGAAGACTCTATTGCAGAAGTGAGAACCTTCATCACTAATTATGCCTCTTGGAGTACCAAAACGAGAGAAAATGTTCTTTTTCAAGAACCTGATCACTGTCTTAGCATCACTGGAATGAACT